CGGGGGTGGAGCCCGGGGTCGGGGGTGGGGTTGTGGTGGTGCTTCGGGTGACAACGGTCAATAATGAAGGTGGCTGCGGCGCGGCAGCAAGCTCAGCTGCGCCGGGCGGGGGCGGTGCCGGGGCCGCGCCTGTAGGACTTCGGGACCGGCGCGGCGAGATGGGGCCCCGGCGCGGGGAGTGAGGCGGCGGCGGCGGCGAGCGAAACTTCAGTCAGAGGGTCTCTCCCGCTTCCCCCTCTGGCTCGTCGGCCTCCGCCTGCAGCCCCTCGGCCCCCGCGTCCTGCGGGACAGGGACGGCGACGGCGGGGGCATGTGGCGTTGGGTCCGGCAGCAGCTGGTAGGTACCTCCACCCCTCACCTCCCGGGCGCGGGTGGCAGGGAAAGGCCGGCGGCGCGGAGCCGCGAGGCCCCGGCGCAGGCTCTGGGCTAGGCCGCAGCGGAGGCGCTCGCGGGAGAAGCCCCTCGCAGCCCCGGCACGCGTCTCGCCTCTGGCCCGGCTCACGGAGGCCGGCGGCTGGAGGCGGCCGTTCCTGCAGCGCTTCTCGGTTACTCCCTCCTCCTAGGCGGCTGCGGCCAGAAGTGGGGTCTGGAGTCGGGTCGGCGTCCCCCCACCCCGAGGATATAGGGCGAGGGAACGGAAAGAGTTGGTCTGGGGAGAAAAAACAGGCTTGTTTTTCTTTCCTCTAACAATTTGGGACACGTTTGAGTGAAGGGGAGGGGGAGGACTAGTCTTCTGCCCCCTCTCCTCGCTGTTTTGAAGGTTGCAGTTGATTATCTAGGAGAAGGGGACCTTATCTAGTCTACCCCTCTCAATGAAACAAATTTTACTCGAGGACTGGGTTAGGGAAAGAAAGAATATTTCAACACCCCGTCTAGTTTCGCAAAAGATAAGTACGATAGTTATGAAGGACTGTTTTCCTTACTACCTTGTCCTCACCCCAACCCAAGTGAAACTTTTGGAATGCGAACCTTATACGTTTTTCCGTTCTCCTCGAGGCAGTTTGAGTGAGACCTGTTGGAACCAATGATTGACTTTTCAGTTTTACTGGAACATCTGGAGGAAAAAAGGAATCTTAGAAAAGGATGATTTAAGGCATCTAAAAAGCGCCACCTGTCTCAGAATTAATTCACAGAGAAAAATCTGTCTTGTCGGCTGGCAACTACAGCATCCAAAATACAGAACTTAAGGGAATATTGATAATTAAGACATAAATTGCTCCTGGCTGGGGATGAGGTCTGTTACTGGCTGCTACTTAATTTCTAAGTCGCATTAGTAAATAAATGCTTCTACAGTTCCGTGTTCTCATTTACTAATTCAAAAAGCGGTGAAGCAAAAACGACTTTCGTGGGACTAAAGCGTTGATACCTCCTTTTCCCCGCTCTAGAACAACATTTTTATGTTGAGGCTGAAATGTTATGTTCATGCTCTTTTAGAGCCAGCCTTCTGTTAATTCATTTTGCAGTGGGCATCATTCTCCAAAAAAAAAAAAAAAAAAAAAATCTAACACGTAAAACTAGGACTGTCTACCACTCCTTCAAACAAATGTTGGCTCTCTATTTTTAGCTAAGTGTAAATTCAGATATCCCAGATATATGCCTTGTTAGGAAACCAAGCTAATGATGTCATTATAATACCATATTGTTGCAATACTTTGGCTTTGTTGCAGTAAGCTGCAGCTTGGTAACTTGACTCTGGAAGTTAATCATTACAGGTAATAATCTCATGATCTCATGCTTTTGATTTGCCCATCGCCATGTATGGAAGACTTACCTGATGGTGTTTTGTGTGCTAGGAAGATCATTTTAAAGTAATTCTCTTGAAGTTTGTTCTAGTAGATTAAGACACCTCTTCTTAGTGTTAGGTATTTTTGTTAACCTGAATAAAGTCCTGATTGTATAACCATTCTCATCTCCAAGACAGTCTGATAATGTTTTTTAAAATGGCTTCGAATGAACACAACTAAAAGGAAGGGCAGGAAGTTGTGTGGTTAATTTACAAGACAACTGCATTATGGGGTGGTTAACAAGTTGAGCAAGTTGCTGTGCATAAAAAAATGCTATCTCTGACATTGGTTGCTCACCTCACTGGTTTTACTTTTAAGTTATCAGATCTTTCACGTATGTAATAAGACCTATGCCAATGTAGGACTTTGTCTCTCTGATTAAGTTTGTACACTTAAATTATACATTAAGGACAGGTGGATACACAGAGTAATGGAAGTATATTTTACCATTCCAGTCGTAAACAGCCATTCTAGTTACTACACCAGGAATTATTCAACTCAAAGTCTAGTTTAAACCACACAAACTTCCATTTGCTCAGTAGATTGAGCCTTTTAGCAATAGGTTCATTTAAAAATTTCAGATATATGGGACAAATTTGGGAAAATAAGCAGATCACAAAGACAGGTGTGTTTCTGGAGTTTTAAACACACTTTATTCATTATAAAAATCCTGATTTTCAACACCTTAAGTTGTCTAGCCAAAAGAAAAGTTTGTTGTCATTTTGTTACTGAGATGACCCCTATGTTCTAGTAATTTTTCTCTAATTAAAAAAAGTTTGACTCCTTAAATCTCCACGAAGTATTTTCACTTCTTGACACAGTGAGAAAAATTAGGCCGTTTGTCAGAAGTTGATGTTTTCCTTTGGGGAAGTAGACTGAAAAGATTGGAATACCCTTTCCTTTTCTTTTTCTTTCTCTTATGTTCTTTCTTTCTTTTGGGTCTCACAATGCTAAAGTTATTTTACAGTAAAAAATTTTTTCTTATGATGTCTTTCTCTACAATTAGTATTATTTATAGTGTGCTTATTTCTAGCATCATACTATGTATGTTAACTCAGAGATGACAGCACCTTGATTATGATAGTGAAAATGCCATTAACTACTCGCTGTGTATTTTAATATTTAGATTTGTATGGTGCCCATTAACCACATTGGCAATTAAAATTCTAATTAACTAAAAAATCCATGTGATACCATATTGGATAATTCAGAGTAGAACATTTTCATTATTACAGAAAATTCAATTGTACAGTGCTAATTTAGAATTAAATGAAAGTCTTTGTCAATGCATATTTTAGTTGATATGTAATATTTCTTTACAGGGCAAGGTAATGCTATGTTTTTAAAGTACTTACTGTTTGCAGACATGAAGTGCTAAATACTGGAGACTCAAATGTAGGTCACAAGGGCCTTGTTTATCTCTGTATGCTCAGTGTCTCACACAATACTTGACAGAGCAGGCACTAGGTACATGTTTGCTGAATAAATGAATAGGTGAGAAAAAAAGAATTAATCCACGGTATTGCTTCTGTGTTTAAAGTGACAAAATTCAAGATTGACCAGTCCAGAAGAAAGGTAGAAAATTACCGTAATTTTACAAAAATACAACTTAATATTGTCATTCTAGGATACAGTTTCTTAAATTGTTCCATAAATATAGTCCCTTTAGATTTGAATTGGCAATGGTGGACGGAGTCTGGTAAGATTGTCTTCTAATTCACTGAGAAAATGGGAAGCTCTTTGCCTAAACTCTCAACTTTCTATTCTCTCACCCACTTAGACTTGCCAAACTTGATTATATCTGTACTTAATTCTTCCCTTTCCTCTTGTCACAAAGGAAGGTTTGACTGTCCTTTTCTAAACCAATCCACTTGTGCTCTTTCATCCTGCTCTCCATACTCCCCATCAATTATCTATTGTATGTTTAATCTTACTCTTTTTCTTTAAGCTTTTTCTTTCAGGCCTCCCTACACTAATTTACTTTGTCCTGTAGCTGTGTCTAATTCTTTTCAATTTTCTAAAAAATAGCTGTATCCTGCATAACTGTGCTAATTTAGTACATTTGAAATGTGGCTAGTTCAAATTGAAATTTGCTGAAGTGTAAAGTACACATAGGATTTCAAAAACAGGATAAAAAAAGAATATAAAATACTTCAATTTTTTGTATTGGTCACATGTTGAAATAATATTTTGGATATATTGGTTAAAGTGAAATATAATTAATTTTACCTGTTTCTTTTTACCTTTTAAAAAAGTGTAGTTACTAGAAATGTTTAAATTTCATATGTGGCTTGCATTTGTGGCTTATGCTATATTTCTACTATTGCTGCTATATAGCATTAAAAGTGAGCTCATGTTAGAGGAGGGTATAGCTCAAGTGGTATAGCGTACATGCTTAGCATACACAAAGTCCTGGGTTCAATCCGCAGTACCTCTGAAAATAAATAAGTAAACGTAATTACCTCCCTTTCCAAAAATAAATAAGATAATATATATATATTTTTTTAAAAAGTGAGATCATGCTTCTATATAGCACGTTATCTAAGTCTAGTTACTTTCACGTACTAGACTAGACTGTTATCTTAGGGCAGGGGCCATATTTTTTTTGTCTTTATATCTCCCTTGCACTCAAGATAGCAGTTGGCCCACTGTTAGGTATTCACCCACCAAATGTTGGTTGAATAAATGAGTATCAGATTTGTATTAGCATCAGTTTGAAAGTACCTGTGTTCTTTGCCTTTCTCTCAAGGAACGAATGAGGAGTAGGAAAAGGAAGCACTGGCCTATGGTAATATTATTTTGCCATGGCTGAGTAAATTTTAACCTCAGAAATTAATGTTTAAGATCCTAGATCTTTGAATATTTGCTTTTTTTTTCTCATGTTCATATATATGTTCTTAGATACTCAGTTTTTCATTTTGTTGGAGAAGTCAGGCATTAGTGGAATCCCACGTGTCCTAGCAGCACTGAAGTAGGGACCTTGCCCAAATCCTCCAAAGAAGCTTGTGATTGCTACTCTCGTCATTAAATATCCCTTCTATCCCTGCAGTCTGTTGTCAACATAGCAGCCAGAGTGATCTTATTAAAACACAAGTTACATGATGTAATTCCTGCATTTAAAACCTTCTGAGGATTTGCCTTCTTGCCCAGAGTAAAAGCCAGAGTCTCTGCTGGCTCTGTAACCACCCACCTCCCCAAACCACTTCTCATCCCCCATCATTCTTCACTCACTTCGCTTTATCCACACAGACCTTGTGATTCATCAGAAGTGCCAGGCGTACTTCAATCTTGGTATTTTTGCCCTGCCTGTTACCTCTGCCTGGAATGTTCTCCCAGTTATCTGCTGGCCGCTTCCCTTCATCTTTTTTCAGATGTACCTTATCAATGAGGCCTTTTTGAGCCATTCAGTATAAAATTGTATCTCCCCCACCCATACTTCCCTATCCCCCTTCCCTACTTTTTATTTCTCTTAGCACTTACCACTATTTAACATTTTCTGTACTTATTTGTCTCTTTCATATCATGAAGGCGCGGATTTTTGTCTGTTTTGTTT